TCTCTTGTCTAGCACAGAGATATTTCATTTCCTTCAGCTCTTCTTCTGTTATTTCCTCAGCAATGCTAACCAGGAAAGCATTGAACTCTGGTATATATCTAGCGGGTAGCGAAATGTTCGGTGGTCGAGGGGAGTGCGCCATGTTTGACAAACGTATCGTCTCAAGCCAAGCAAACGTTGCCTATCTGACTGAAAACAATTCGCGTGACACCACAGTCTGGTCGCGTAGAACGGCCTGGTTACATTTGCTGACAAACTTGACTGCATATGTAATTATGATCGTCGGTGGGAGAGTATAACAGGGTAGGAGATGAACTTTGTTTGCCTCACGATAACAGGGAAATTCAATATCATCGAAATTCATTTTGTCGAATCAAGAGTTGGTGGGTCAGTCGGTTACATTATCAGGAGGATAATGAGAGAAATTTGCAAGATATTCGTACGAATTATTCACAAATGAGTCGACATATCTTTCAGACAATGCTCATGTAGTCAAACTTCATTTGAAGCTGTCATTTGATAAGTTATGCCTGAACATTGATTTTGACCGCAGAGTTGCGGATTAACTCTATGGAGCTTCATATCTACGTCCGAGATATTGTAAATTTCAGTGTTATTAAATTCTAAACAGTTCGCTAACCTAGAATAAATATCCATGATTTGTCTCACACGAAACGTGGTAGAATAAATTATTACCGGGGAATACCCTTACAGAAAGACTTATGAGGATGTTTGGGCTAAAATAGATACTTTCGAGTGCCGAAGTGTAGATGCATAGGCGGAAATTTCATGTATCTAAAAATAGGGAATGAATTAAAAAAGACTGTTTTAAACCCAGAACATTTCTTGTTTAAAGGTCTCACTAGGACATATTTCAGGGACAAAGTTTAACAATCTAGATCTGTGACAGTTATTCCTATTTTTAGGGAAGCATAGGAAACAGTTACATTGAACTTTAAGGTAAAAGGTAAAACAAAAATTGCTTAAGTTTGGGCATCAAAGCAGAGCATCGAACAAATCTTGGCCCTTTTGCCGAAGGATGGGAAGTACTGTAGGCTGAAAGGCTCTCTAAGAGGGGTCAACTGAGCTCTGTCTAGTTTGTAAGGTTCTTCATTACTTAAGGTAGCTCTGACCAAGGCTTGATGACTGGCTGCCATTCAATAAAGGAGCCTGAACTCCTTGGAACAGATACAATAAAGTGATAGTTATCAAGCCCTACCGCAAATGATACCTGAAGAGGAACCACACTAGAAAAATTAAATCTAATGCTTAATTCTAAACATCTTTTGACCTTCTTGATACTGGTGATGGGATCTACAGCTATGACAGCCTAAGACACCATTGACAACACAATTCCACCCTACATTAGTCAATCGCGCCTGATAGCTTGGGGAAAGGTAAATTCAAGTGTACCAAGGAACAGAATTACAAAAGTGGTTCCTACTGACATAAATTTAAGTAATCATCATTTTTTCTTGTGTAACAATACACATGGAAAAATTAAAAATGTGAAGATGACTGTTCTCAATGTGATTTTTTAAATATGGCTTCCAGTGTTACAACTTTACACCCCTGATACATGAAAATTGCACTTATTTTCAGCCAATCATATTGTGCCTTATTATCTCACTTTTTTAGTATATACTAAAACTACTATTCAACGTAGTGTCGATGTCCAGCGATGGTGGCAAAATCCACCACTAGCCACCTCAATCTGAAGGGTTGTTAACTAGCCAATGAAATTCACATCTCACACATATTCTGACCAATGAAAATGAAGGAAAAATCTATCGGGAGTAGGTTGCTCAGGTTCTGTTTCAAAAAAAGGAAAATGGATGAAATTAACTTTAGGTTGATGCCTGTCCTGACATTAAATATTTCATGGCTGAGTTTCTTTCGTCTAGGAATAAGTACAAATCAGGGTTAACTATATTTGATTATTTGCACGATTACTCCTTGAATTGTGCTCCATAAACTTCTCGATTTGAAACAAATGAATAGTAGGAAAATCCAATAATTTTAAATCCCTATGAGTTAAGTATGAGCATTGGAAGGCCTTTTAGCAATAACTGAAGTAATTTTCTCTTGAAGAGTAACAATAGGCTTTGATTTTGTGGTATGTCAATACACAATACCAAAACACAATACACACGATAGGGATGAACCCAACTGTAAAAGTCGTACGTAACAATGATGGAAGAAGGCAAAAACTTGATTTTGACAACATGCCAAAGAATTAAGAAGATTTCCTGGCAACACTGACGAGATACTGGTTGGCCTAAGTTTTGTATACATACTTCAGTCTGTTCACCAAGACCCAAGAGGTTTACCTCGAGTTTCGGTTTTGTGAATACGCAATTAACGAGGATTTGATCCTCGTTTGTCTATCACATCACTCCTTTTGCTCACAGTATCCTTCGTGATCTTGTGGTCGGGGCCCAGAATATCGTTTTGAATTACTAAGGCCTCGTCGAGCTCCTTCAAAGCCTCATCGAATCGTCCTTGAAGGACTAAGACATCGCTAAGCTGAACGCCCGAACGAGCTGTGTCCTGATGATGACCCAACAGCCTCTTTCGTAACTCTTGAGCCTTCCTGAGGTACTTCTCTGCCTGGTCGATGTAATCTCGCTCATTTCGCTCAGAGCCTTTGGCCGCAAGGGACTTGTACGAGTCAGCAATGTAGGACAAAATTGAAGCTGTCCAGGGGTGGTCACCAAGCTGCTTTTCGTAAACTGGAAGGGTGTTCTCTTTCCATATAGCGATTGCTTTTTGATGATCACCACACAGTCGATAAGAAACTAACAAAGTGTGAAGACAAGATATAACTTTTACATAGTTAAATGAATCCTTACCGCCTTTAAAAAAGAAACAACTGGTATGAAGAAAGAGATTGACCTCTGATTCAAAGCCGGTACGCGTCGAGGGTGATTTCGTCAAAGAATATAAAGCTTGTAAACCGTAAACTTTTAAAGAGCTATTTCTCAAATGGGTTAGAAAAATTAGTTTCCTTCTCAAATTAATAAACCCACCCCATATCACAAATTAACTCTCTGTCAGACTAATAAACCTTTTTAACCCCAAGGTTTCCAAATTCGAATTTCCTTGCAATAGCACCTTTTGAATCAAACATTAAGCGCATGAAAAATAAATCAAACGGAGGCCAATTAAAGAAGCGAGATCTTGGCTGTTGACCAAATGCTCCTTATCAATACCATTGGAAATGTTTTTGGAACAGTATGGAGAATATTCATGCGGAAGTTAGGCTGTTAGGGGATCAAGGATTCAGAAATGATTCTTTCACTTTCACGTCGAAGCCTATAGACAACACCATTCCCTCTTTCTCCATGAAAATAAGACTCGACGAGATTCCAATACATGAGTTTAGTATTTCCTCTTTTCAGTTCTCATTTAATTGGAAATTTATTTGTTTTTCTCTCGGTTTTTAAAAAGAAAGCACCCAATTAAGAATTTCACAGTGCACTTTGTCATCCTTTCAGCCTCCATCCAGTCTCCTACGAGGATATGCAGGTGTCATACGGAGTAAAAATCAAAACATTTACTTACTTCCAAGGTCACAGTATCCAGCAGCAACATACAAACAACCACTTAAAGAATTTCTTATTGAAATTCCTTCCTGTATGAGCTCTCGTCCTTTTTTCTCTTTTCCCTGCAAAACAAACAAATCTTGTAAATATCCCGATCCAGTCTACCTTAGTGCGAGTGACACCTCATTAGGACTGACGCAAACTCGCCCATTTCCGCCGTAATTGATAGTTTTACTAGATTTCCTATAATCTTCAGTACACGAGAAGAACTTAAACACTTCTCCTCAGCGTTAGATTCTCATGAGCCCCACAAATAAAAATGCAGGGATGGTACCTAAAAAGGAAACCATTGACAAAATTCTCCTTAAAAAGGAAGAGATAAGGCGGGAAATCAAAACAAAAAAAAAAGACACGCGGTCCTCTTTTAAAATTACCATGATCTCACCTGCAATACAAAACATACTCCGAGCTTACTAGCTGTGTGCGCATGCGTTTGGGACTTTTGTTCCTCCTCTGGTAATGCCCTGCGCATGTCATATGCTTCCTGAAACTTTGCAAGTGTGACTTGATTTTCTTCTGGGCTGTCTTTGCTGTGAGACACGTCACAGAGACGACGGAATCCCAGTGAATTCAAGCTCTCTGCATGCCTCTTCTTGTCGCCGGACGCTTCAGCGATATCACAGCATTTCTGGTACAGCACTGTGCACTCTTTAGGGGGTGTTAGAACTTTTGCCACAAAATCCAGCACTTCTGTACCGTTAACGACGTCTAAAACGAAATGTTTGTCATCTAAATCGCTAGAGTCTTCGATACAATTCTTCAGCGCTTCCATGATGTTCGCTTTCTGCTGTCGAAACTTATGGATGGCAATCAAAGCAGAATTTTTGCTTATAAAATCTTCGCTCAAGACTTTCAGCTGACCAAGGTAATGACGGTTAAATTTACGCTGAGTGGTGCGCCACAGGTCACCCTTACCTAGTGATTCATTCTCTGTCCGGAAGTAGTCTTGGATCAAAGGATGCATCCTCATCTTTCCATTGGCGTCCCTCTGAAGGAGAGCATACTTGACCATCTTGGTCTTCACTGTTTCACAGAGTAAAGGACTTTCAAAAAGAAACTTAATGTCTTGAGCTGTGAACTCCGATGGGAAAACAGAAAAAAGGACAAGATTTTCTTTGACCTCGTCGGAAAAATTGTCAAAAAATACTTTCAGTGTGCTATAAACATCTTTCGCACTGATCCTGAAAAATTGTATGGGATTATTCACGAGCTGTTGGATTAACAGCTCGCGACTAAAACCATTGTTCAGCAAGTCAGAACAGGTCACAAGAAGGAGTGGTATCCCACCACATAATTTAGCAAGTTCCTTAGAGTGTTCCTCACTACAGTCATCAACAAGACTCTGAAGCAGTTTAGCAGACGAGTCGAGATCCAAAGGTTTAAGAGAAAACTTACAAACGTCTGGCGACACGAATCCAACATGTCTTCGAGTTGTGATCATCAACTTTATATTCGGGGCAGATTTTACTAGCCATCTAGTGAATTCATCAAATTCCTCGCCCTGTATATTCTCTGTATTGTCAAGCACAATGACAGTTGGGATATTTCGCTCCGATAGTTTTGTGTGCGACTACTTAATCGATCAAGAATCTCACTGCAGATGTCTACGAGCTTCTGATGATGACTCTCTACTCGGATATGTGTTACAAACTGGTCAACTCTTTGCTGCTTTAATAAGTGACTTACACGGATTCCCACTTCAGTCTTCCCCATTCCTGGGATAGAAAGAAGAACAACCATACGAAAGGTCTCCACTTTCTTTATGATTTCATCTACGCCCGCGTCTCTTCCAACAAAGTGCTTGGTTAAACACGGCAGATTTTGAGGTTGACCACCCGGCGACGACGGTATACCTAAAATACGAAAAAAAAAAATGAAAAAAGTTTGAACAGATACAAGAACGGTAGCCGATCACAACAGATGTCCCAAAAACAAGTTGAGGATATACCAATGGAACCCTAAATATAAGAACCTAAATAGGCCCTTTATGATTTTGTTTGCATAATTTTTGGCATAATAACATACATGACAAAATTATGCGCGTCTGATGCGCGCATCTGAGAAGGAAGATGTGGCTATCAAAGAGAATAACAAGGAACATTAAACATAACACAAGAGTATGGAGGTTTTTCAATGTGGTCTTTTTACAGACAAGCAGTATCCATGTCTGAGAGCTTCTCCAGGCAGAATTCAAGTCTATAAGTGATGTTTCAAGAGCATTTAAGCAAAAGAAATCTTCAACCCCATGTTGGGGCAGCTCACTGCCTTGATGAAGTGGCTGACAAGTACTATGCAAAAAAATAACTTTTTGGAACCATCAAATGCAAGGATACCTAGCTTTAGCTGGATTGGAACAGTGTAATCTTACATATTATCTACACTCTTAAGGGAAATTAGTAGTACCTGTAAAATTTGACAAAGAACTGTGGGAGCAAATGGTAGGGAAATTATCAAAGTTCTTAGGGAACACATGGTGCCTGAACTCCTAAGTGGAAAGATTCATGAAGAGGTTACTAACTAAGCCTTTTAAGAACCTTTGACAATGGATTTCGAGCACCATCCATGTTGAAATTAATTTATCCTATTACCAGATGCAAAATAGTCTTTAAGGCCTGATTACAGGTTAGAGAATACACTTGATTTGCCTGTTGTGTTTTTATATCTAGAAAGATATGACAGTACTTATAGATGCACTGTAATATGACAGAAGTGTTTGTGACCGTGGTATCCCAAGTTTTTGTCTGTTGACCAATGTTTTCTTCGGTGGATAAATTCCGAAAAGAATCCTATGTTTTCCGAAACTAAACCAGCAGTTTGAAATGGTTAAGGGCCTGCTTACATGGAGGTGGGGGACCCCGGGTAGGTGAGGTAACCCGCCTGTCCATATAATTTCTTATTTTATTTTGATCACGTTTACATGATAGGTGGAGTGACCCGCCTAGGCGGGTTGCCCAGTCTGCCAGGTAGGGTAACCCTGTCAGCCGGGGTGACAATTTGCCATGTAGACGTGTCAAGGTGGGGTAACCCGCATAGCTGGGGAAGCCTCTGCTCACACTCCCTAATTACAAGCACAACAGCACCCCAGCACCTCGGGGTTGTAAGATTGCATGTAAACGCGTTTTATTCTTCGACCACGGCTAGGCGGGTTACCTCACCTACCTGGGGTCCCCCACCTCCAGGTAAACAGGCTCTAAAACAGGCAAGATAAAGCTGAAAGATTTCTTTGCATAATGAAGTTAGTTTTTTTTTGTTTTTTTGTTTGATAAATTAGAAGAATACTGAAGAGTTCTTCTTTGTAAGTGGAGGTAGTAGATTACAAAAAGCAGCATAAACTATTTAACAATTGGTTCATACATCAGCGTGCGTTCATCGAGATATGAAGCACGCAGGAAGTTTGGAGAGCACGAAAGATGCGCAAGAGTTGCTAGAGGCGTAGCCGAGAGCAACTCTAGCTTCCAGCTTCTTCTTCTCGTCAAAACTGGAAAATCGAAAGAGGAATACGCAGTAGTCAAAGCTCTTTTAAATCTGAGCGTAAAGCCAGTGATGAGTTCAGGAGAAGAATCAAATTATTAAAAATGTCGTACAATCCAAACTGCGGGGACGTGTTAAAATTGTCAACAGTCTTCAGGAAAAATGGATTGGGTATTAGCATATTATGAAATACTAATTCGTCTAAAGCAGTGGCGTCGCCTTTTCGAAATTTGGATGCACTGGCAGAACCATTTTTTCGACTGCGGAGGTGATTTCCACTAACGAGGTTCCAAGTGTCCGCTCGCTGAAATCCCCCGTTCTCGTAGATATTTTTTAAGCTATGCCACACTTATTGCGTTGAGTCAGCTTTACTTTGTGATCTACCATTCTTAAGTTTGACTCTTCTTGAAAGCTGTTCTGAGTTTCGCAGAATTTCCCACTTGAGTTACTTAAGGTTAAAAAAAATCGGTATATTTATCAGCTAAGGAAACCACATCCAGATACATAATTTCGTATGGGAATTAAGGCTTCCTCACGTTCTACAGCGATTCGTGGGCACTAATTTTCAGACAGAAGTGATTTTATTTAACAATCTGCGCACACAACACCCCGAAAATACCTGATCAGATACATCACAGTACGCAGAACTAGTTCGATTATTCCATGCCGCAATTCTTCCTGAAACATTCTTCGCATCTGTTTCAACGGCAGCGAAATGACAACTTACTTGATAAACGATCAGAAAATGATAAAAGGAAGACACCAATTTTGAGCGAAGAACACTTCTTTAAAGTGGATGTGCTGCGAGCTCGATTCAATGTCCGAACTTTAAGGGTTTGTTTACATCAAAAGTCACGTGACACTCCACGTGGAATCTAGGGCCAAAAAGGTGAATTGAATTTGATTACACAAATTTACTAGCTATGGTATAATAATATTTTATCAGCAAGAGGCACAAGTGGTTTTAGGAGATTTTTACTTATTGCGATTTCTCGGCAAAAGGTTTCAAAATATTAAATATCGCCGTTAGATAGGCCAAAGTTGGAAATCCGTGAAGAATTTCACAGGATTCGCAATTTCAGTGCGTTATCCCTGAGAAAGTTTCCGTTTCAACGCTGGCATGTTAATGAGTTCGTTTCGAAGTGTAAAATAAACCAGGATATGATAAAAGTGTTTTAACGGCGTAAAATTTTAAATCTTACAGTAACTGTTTATTTACCGACTGAGTCAAATTAACGCCGTTAGTTAACGGCGTACTGAGGGATTTTACGCGGTTGGTTGACAGCTTAACATCTAACAGTATGTATATTAATACCGATGCATACAATGGCATAAAATCGTAGAGTCTTTAGAATGTGTTAGTCATACATTATGCTGTTATCTAATTACTGCTCTCAATATGGTCGGTACGCAACTCAGAGACTAAACTCAGAGCATGCACGCTATTTCAAATTTGTCAATCTTACTGCCAATCAAACAGCATTAGATGCTACAGCACTTTGCAAATGTAAACTGTTCGACCGTGAATCATACCGCCAATTTTGGCGCATTTATCTTTATCTCTGATTTTTTTCAAGCGCTCAAAGCTAGATCAACTTTGATTTTATCGACGACCCGATAGTAATTAATCTGAGGCTGTCAAATCGCATTATTCATAAAGGAAAAACGATGAAAGTCTCATTCAATCTTAAGAAATCTATCTACACACGAGTCTTTACCAGAATCTTACCTTGTTCCTCAATCAAAGCGGCTAGCCCAGCACGTCCGACGTTTCTAAGAAGCCATACCAAATAGGACACATCTTCTAGGCTGATTTTACCGTGTTGGCATAAGAAGCTCAAAAACTCGATTTGATTTTTGATAGCAACGAGCTTTCCTCGTGGCAAATGATTATTGTTTTTTTGTCCGTCACAGAGAAATATCATTTTCTCTAAATCTTCTTCTGTTATTTCGTCAGCAATATTAACCAAGAAAGCGTTGAACTCTTCTGTATTTCGGGTGGGTAGCGAAATATGCAGCGATCGAGTAGAGTCCGCCATTTCTGGAAGAGACGTCCTGTCTTTAGTCACGCAAACGCGGCTAATCTACGTGACTGAAAACGATTCGTGTGGCAGAACGGCCCGGAAGATTGACACCTGGCTACATTTTAAAACAAACTTGATTGCACGCATAATTATGAATGAGAGGGTAAGTTTCTATAAAAACTTTGGTGCTGCGTCGGTGGGAGAGTGTAACAGGGTGATGATGAGTTGCCACTAATCGGATCCTTGTGTTTGCGCACAGATTTTTGGGATCGCCTAGGGGCAAACATACTCGCAAGGATCAGATTACTGGCAACCTATACGTTCAGTATTATCGACTGGGAGAGAAATTCGCTCTGACGAAGGGCTAATGCTCGAAACGTCAGCTTTGAAACTCCTTCTGGTGGCCAATTTACGTTATACTAGGTTAGTGATATTAAGGCCCGGTTCAAAAGTCGCATTTCACATGTACCGAATATAACTCGAGAATTAACTGCATGTGAAGAATTAACTGCACGTCTCGAGAAAAAGCCCACGATAAATTCATGAACGCGTCACGCGTTTTGTGACTCGGTGTTGAGTTACGGGAGGAACCGTTGAAAATTTGAACACGTTATAAGGAATAGTATGGGGAACGTCCACGTCTTTTGACATGGATAACAGTGATGGTAAAGCAAGCTTAAAACGGTAGAAATCGCCAGAAACTACGACGGATACACAGGGCATGAGTAAGTTTTATTGATTTTACGTGTTAAATATTCATATTTCGAAATATTTATCGTTGTAAATCGACCATATTTCGTTCCTCATACTATTCCTTATATCGTGTTCAAATTTTCAACGGTTCCTCCCGTAACTTAACACCGAGTCACACAACGCGTGACGCGTTCATGAATTTATCGTTGGCTTTTTCTCGAGACGTGAGCTTGGGCCGCCTGTGGTGAAATGCGACGTTTGAATCAATTAAATCCGACAGTTTCGAATTAAATGCGACGGCTTACGTCGAATCTGCGACTGAAGCAGTCGAATATTCGACCTCAGTTCGACATTTGATTCACACGTGGTTACATATGTAGCGGGGGAAAGGCAGCCTTTCTTGTTCAGCGAGGTCGTTCAACGTTATTCCGGCGATGAAAAAGTCATCTGCTGATTAGCTCCGCTGACTAAACTCATTTAGTCAGTTGAGGCGGACGACCAGAGACTGGAGCCATTCCTGTAGTTCACCGCTGACAGGAATAGCTCTGACTCATTGAAAAAAAAAAATTAATCAACGCATGTATGCGTCTATTAATTTTTTAATGATATTTTTAAACAATTTAAGAAAACAATTTAAAATAAAATTTAAAACCAGTCTAGTGAGTATCGCTCTGCGAACAGTAGTTATAAAACTTCTTTATTCTCCGACGCGTTTCTTCTAACTGTCATGAACTTCTTCAGGGAGTTTCTACAAGTAGCTAACACTAAACGCCTATATTTATAAGCCACTGTTAGCGGCTATTGTAGGGGCCAATGACCTAAAGGCTTGGCTGGACCTACGAGCAGGAATAGACAAAGTTTTGAAAAATCTGAAAATTTATTTTGAAAATTTTTTACGCAAGATGAGAAAAATATTTTGGGAGCCACGGTTTTTGGCTAAAAAATTTAAAATTTGAAGAGTTTTTTTTTACATATGATACCTGGAAAGCAGTTTCCAAATTAGGTTAGGATGGCTCGTTTACTTTACAGAAAACATGGTTTCTGTTCTACTCATTCTTTCTCAAATTTAAGTGGTATAAATACCTTGTCTAAAACAATAATGTGATACAACAGCAAACTAGATATACTCGTTCCAAAACAGCGTCATGTGATGAACAGCTTTCATTAATTTTAGAAAAAGATTCTAAAATCATTTTACTCTTTCTTGTTATACCCGAAAAACTGTTCGAAGATTGGTTGTGCCATCACTGAAAACAGTCAAGGTACTTCGACATGATTCAGTGCGAGAGTTACTACCACTGTTCTGACTGGTAAGACGTTTTTCCTTTGTTTGTTTTGTTTTTTCCTTTTTTAGGTCCAGAGGAGTCGTTAGAAATTACCAAGCAAAATTAAAGTAATCCGCGACTTTCTTCCTTTAGGTGTTGTGCAAAAATAGATCAGTGAAGAGCCCGATGAATGGATTTGTCCTTCGTGTGAACAGTTACCCAGAAAATCAGTTTTCCACTAAAAAAAACTCCCTCGACTGCGGCCAAGCCACATTTCTCTAGCGGAGCATACTGTAAAAACATCGATCGCAGCGTCACGCAACACTGCGTGATTTTCCAAACGTGACATGCAGTTGCTGTGAATTTTTTTAACACTTAGAAACTACATGCCCTGTAGTAATAAAAGAGGGCTTCATTTGCAAGCATTGTAGAGTTCAACATAAGAAGAACCTAATAAAACGCTCTTTTAGTTTTTATCTCAGTGTATAAATTATTTAGCCAAAACGAAAAAACAATTAATATACGCATGAGTCGGAACCATTCCTGTTAGCGGTGAAATGCAGGAATGGCTCCAGTCTCTGATCGTCCGCCTAAACTGCCTAAATGAGTTTTGTCAGCGGATGACTTTTCCATCGCCGGAAAATCGCTGAACGGCCCCGCTGAGCGAGAAAGACTCTGCCCTCTTTTCGTTATTTAAGTAGCCATTTCTTGTTTGACACGTCGGTGTTTTCACACGCATTGATATTTCATTGTTCTGCTTCGAGAAACACGGATAAACAATACTTACAAGCAAGGAGTTAAGATATAACCTATTCACTTTTACTTTATTTTACTATTTTTATCATCCAATGACAGGTCGGAGCCATTCCTGTATTTAGTCGCTAGTGAAGGAATGGGCATGCAGTTCATGCTTTTGACAACAAAATATACTTGTTTGACCTACAGCCAATGAATTTAGAAAATTTCCTTGCGAAACTGATGAGATACCAGTTGACCTAAGTTTTGTATACATGCTTCAGTCTGTTCACCAAGACCCTAGAGTTTTACCTCGAGTTTCGTTTTTGAAATTATGCAATTAACAAGGATTTTAACCTTTTTCGTCTATCAAATCACTCATTTTGCTTTCAGTGTTCTTCGTGATCTTGTGGTCAGGGCCCAAAATATCGTTTTGAATTACGAAAGCCTCATTAAGCTTCTTCAAAGCCTCATCAAATTGTCGTTGAAGGACTAAGACATCGCTAAGCTGAACGCATGAACGAGCTGTATCCTGATGATGACCCAACAGCCTCTTTCGTAGGCTTCGAGCTTCCCTGAAGTACATCTCGGCCTGGTCGATGTAACCTCGCTCAGAGCTTCCAAGGGCCTTGTACGAGTCAGCGATGTAGGACAAAATTGAAGCTGTCCAGGGATGGTCATCAAGCTGCTCTTTGTAAACTGGTAGAGTGTTCTCTTTCCAAATTTCGATTGCTTTTTGATGATCACCACACAATCGATAAGAATCTAACAAAGTGTGAAGACAAGAAATAGATTTTACATAGTTGAATGAATCCTTACCACATTTCAAAAAGAAACAACCGGTATGAATGAAGAAACGGACCTCTGATTCAACGCCGGTACGCGTCGTGGGTGATTTTGTCGAAGAATATAAAGCTTGTAAGCCGTAAACTTTTAAAGGGCTATTTCTCAAATGGATTAGAAACGTTAGTTTCGTTCTTAAATTAACAAATCCCTCCCCGTATCACAAATCAATTTATTGTCAGACTAACCAAGGAACATCAACCTTTTCAATCACAAGATCCCTAGATTAGAATTTTTCCTTGCAATAGCACCTTCTGAATCATACATTACGCGCATGAAAAATAATTCAAATGTAAGTCAATTAAAGAGGCGAAATCTTGGTTGTTGACTAAATTCTCCTTGTCAGTACCATTGGAAATGTTATGGAACAGTATGGAGAATATGCATGAGGAAGTTAGGCTACTAGAGATCAGGCATTCAGAAATTATTGTTTCACTTTCATGTCGAAGCCTGCAGACAAGACCATTCCCTCCTCCATGAAAATAAGAGTCGAAGAGATTTCAATACATAAGTTTAGTATGTCCCCTTTTCAGTTCTCATTTAACTGGAAATTTATTCGTTTTTCTCTCGGTTTATTAAAAGGAAGCGCCCAATTTGGAATTTCAAATCCTTTCAGCCTCCATCCAGTCTCCTAAAAGGATACGCGGGTGTTATACGGAGTGCAACCCAAAACATTTACTTACTTCCAAGGTCACAGTATCCAGCAGCAACATACAAACGGTTGCCTAAAGAATATCTTATTGAAATTCCTTCCTGTATGAGCTCTCGTCCTTTTTTTTCTTCTCCCTGCGAAGCAAATAACTCTTGTAAATATCCGGTTCTAGTCTAACTCAGTGCGAGTGACACCCCATTAGGATTGAAGCAAACTCACCCATTTCCGCTATTATTGATAAAGTTTCATTAGATTTTCAACAATCTTCGGTACACGAGAACTTGCACACTTCACCATGGCGTTAGATTCTCATGAGCCCCACAAAAAGAAAATCAAAACAAAAAAAAAAAGACACACGGTCCTCCTTTATATTTACTATGATCTCACCTGCAATACTAAACATACTCCGAGCTTACTAGCTGTGTGCGCATGCGTTTGGGACTTTTGTTCCTCCGCTGGTAATGTCCTGCGCATGTCATATGCTTCCTGAAATTTTGAAAGTGTGACTTTGTTTTCTTCTGGGCTGTCTTTGCTGTGAGACACGTCACAGAGACGACGGAATCCGAGTGAATTCAAGCTCTCTGCATGCCTCTTCTTGTCGCCGGACGCTTTAGCCATATTACAGCATTTCTGATAAAGCGCTGTGCACTCTTTAGGGGGTGTTAGAACTTTTGCCACAAAATCCAGCACTTCTGTACTGTTGACGACGTCCAACACGAAATGTTTGTCATCTAAATCGTTAGACTCTTCGAGACAATTCTTCAGCGCTTCCATGACGTTCGCTTTCTGCTGTCGAAACTTACGGATCGCAACCAAAGCTGAATTTTTGCTGATAAACTCTTTGCTCAAGACTATTAGTAGGCCAAGATAATGATGGTTAAATTTATACTGAGAGGTGCGCCACAGGTCGCTCATGCCTAAAGATTCTTTCTCTGTCCGGAAGTAGGCTTGGACCAAAGGATGCATCCTCATCTTTTCATCGGCGTCTCTCTGAAGAAGAGCGTACTTGACCATCCTGGTCTTCACTCTTTGATAGTGTAAAGAATCTTCAAAAAGGCACTGAATGTCTTCAGTTGAGAACTCCGATGGGAAAACAGAAAAAAGGACAAGATTCCGTTTTACCTCATCGGAAAAATTGTCAAAAAATACTTTCAGCGTGTTATTAACATTGTTGAAAAGCTGTGTGGGATTATTCCGGAGGTGTTGGATTAACTGCTCGGGACTAAAACAATTGTTCAGTGCGTCAGAACAGGTCACAAGAAGGAGTGGTATCCCACCACATAATTTAGCAAGTTCCTTGGAATGTTCCTCACTACAGTTTTTAACAAGCCTCCGAAGCAGTTCAGCAGACGAGTCGGGATCCAAAGGTTTGAGACGAAACGTACACACGTCTGCCGACACGATTTCAACATCTTTTCGAGTAGTGATTATCAACTTTACATTTGGGGCAGATTTCACGAACCATTTAGTGAATTCATCAAATTCCTCACCCTGTATATTCTCTGTATTGTCAAGTACAATGACAGTTGGGATATTTCGCTCCGATAGTTTACGCTTCGCAATAGACATAAAATTAGCGGTTGGCGACCAAACGCGACCATTTAATCGATCAAGAATCTCACTGCAGATGTCTACGAGCTTCTGATGATGACTCTCTACTCGTATATGTATTACAATCTCGTAACCTCTTTTCTTTAACAAGTGACTTACACCGACTCCCACTTCAGTCTTCCCCATTCCTGGGATAGAAAGAACAACAACCATGCGAGAGGCCTCCAGTATCTCAATGATTTCCTTTACGTCCGTGTCTCTTCCAACAAAGTGTGCGGTTAAACACGGAAGATTTCGAGGTAGATCACCCGGCGACGACGGTATACCTAAAATACGAAAAAAAAAAGGAAAGAAAAAGTTTGAACAGATACACGAACGGTAACCGACCCCAACAGATGTCCCAAAAACAAGTTGTATATACCAATGGACAAACAATATACCAATGGAACCCTGAATATAAGACCCCAAATAGACCCTTTAAGACTGTGCTAGCATAATTTTTGGCATAATAATATACATGACAAAATTACGCGCGCCTGATACGCGCATTTGAGAAGGAAGATGTGGTTATCAAAGAGAATTTCAGGGAACATTAAACAAAACATAAGGGTGTGAAGCTTTTTCAAAGTGGTGTTTTTATAGACATGCAGTATCCATATCTGGGAGCTTCTCCAGGCAGAATTCAAGTTTGTAAATGTTGTGTTTAGACACTTTCGGAGGTCAAGAGCATTTTTAAAAATTTATCTTTTTGGAACTATCAAATGCAAGGACAGCTAGCTTTAGCATGATTGGAACAGTGTAATCTTATTATCTACACTCTTCAGGGAAATTAGTAGTACCTGTAAAATTGGACAAAGAACTGTGGGAGCAAATGGTGGGGAAGCTATCAAAGTTCTTTGGGAATACATGGTGCCTGAACTCCTCAGTAGAAAGATTCGTGAAGAGGTTACTCACGCCTGACTACGCCTTTAGGAACCAGGATGGAATTGAAGCACCTTCTATCTTAAAATTAATTTAATGTACACTTAGAAGATTTAAAATAGTCTTTGTGGCCTGATTACAGGTTAGAGGATACACTTGATTTACTTGTTGTGTTTTGATATCAAGAAAGATATGACAGTACTTATAGATGCATTGTAATATGACAGAAGTGTAAGTTAGCGTGATATCACAAGTTTTTGTTTGTTAACCAATGTTATCTTCAGTGGATCAATTCCGAAAAAAGGTTCCTTTGTTAAATCCAAACTAAATCAAGAGTTGGAAGTGGTTAAAGTAGGTAAGATGAAGCTGAAAGATTACTTTGCATAATGAAGTTGGGTTTATTTGTTTTTTTTTTGGTGATAAATTAGGAGAATATTAGAGAGTTCTTCTTTGTTAGTGGAGGAAGAAGATTAAAAAAAAAAAACACAAACTGTTAATATTTTATCGGCAAGAAGCACAAGTGGTATAAGCAGATTTTTTACTTATTGCGATCCCAGTAATTCAGTTTCTCGGCGAAAGGTTTCAAATTATTAAATATCGCCATTAGACTGGCCAAAGCTGGAAATCCCGTGAAGAATTTCACGGATTCGCATTCTCCCTGAAAAGTTTCCGTTTCAACGCTGGCATGTCATTGAGTTCGTTTCGAAGTGTTTCTTTATCAGCTCTTAAGATATCCAGTCAAGTCGCCGACGGTTTAACTCGCCAACGCCAACTCATCGACGTATATAATCGAGTAGAGACGTCGGCGAGTTGGTCTTCAATCCAGTACAACTTATTAGACGTTAAACATATAGAAAAGGAACAGATCTTTGGTAAAAAAACAATTTTTTTTTCTTTCAACAAAGTTTATAAGGATCTCATGCCGAATAAAACAAGGTAAACATCTCCAGTGACTATAAAAGCTTCAGACGCGAAGGAGTTATTGTGTGACAACAACACTGTAACGACTCATCATGTCAATCGGTCAGATTTTTTTATGAAAACTTGGCTTTCTAAACGAGATGTTTAGTAAAAAACAATTCTTTTCATTTCTAACGAGGTTTATAAGGATCTCAAAGCGAATAAAGCAAGGTAAACACCGCCAATGACCAAAAAAAGCTTTAGACGCAAACAAGTTATTATGTGCCAACAACGCTGTAAAGGCTCATCATGTCAATCGGTCAGATTTTGTAAAAAAAAACTTAGCTTTCTAGACAAGATCTTTCGTGAAAAAAAAAAAATGTTATTGACAGTCTAGGCTTCACTTATAACGCGTCGTCCAGGCAGCCTTACGCGATATATTGGCAGTGTACCGTCCTTCCAAAGGGAAATCACTGAATGCCCTTCCGACCCCTCCAGCAGTAAAACAAGTTACGTTGGATTTTGAGGCAGCTATGTGGGCGGCTATGAGGTATGTACTGCCCGCAGTACAACTTCAGGGCTGCGTGTTCCATTGAATCTAGGCATTATGGTGAAAGGTTGGTTAAGTAAAGTTTACCATAAAGTTAATGGACAATGTTACGATTATGATTTGTATAACACGTTATATGTCTGTTTGTTTCTATATAGATTCAAGAATTGGGGCTTCAAGTCCTTTATCAGAGAGACGAAGGGACCTTCAAGTACCTCCGCAAGTTGATGGCGTTGCCCTTCCTTCCGAGCCATGAAATTCCAGCTATGTTCGAGTCTTTGAAAGAACACGCCACATCACCAGCCCTCCGCGAGCTTACAAGATACATTGAAAATCAGTGGGTTCAGTCCCTTGCATTCACGCCCAAAGACTGGGGTGTTTATGGCAAGCCTACAAGGACTAACAACGACATTGAAGGTACTTTTATTTTGAAAATTGAATGGTAAATTATACAGGACCTTAAATGTCTAATGACGGTATGCAGAAACATCATATGTATTTCCTTCACGTCTCCTTCGTTTTGTGCTAATCTTTACATCCCAGGTTGGGATCATGCACCTAATAGAAGAGCAATGGGGAGGCATCTTCCGTTCTACGAACTAATAGAGCTTTTACAAAGGGAAGCAAAATCGGTGGCCACACAAATACGATAAGTATCTAACCAGAAGCTGACCAGAATCCAAAGAAGGGATTATAGACAATTGCAGAGTAAGGTGTTTGGATTTTGGCAGAAATATGAGAATGGTGAAAAAAACAGCGGCCCAATTATTGAAATAGATGTCGAAATTAAACGCAGAATAATTGCATAATGTACATAGTGTAGTATGGTATCCCTGTGTATTATGTGTACGTATGTCACGTGACTAGCACATGGAGAGAGATCCGCGGTCTTAATTAAAAGACCTCGTTCTGTTGACATTTATATCTGTCTCGTCCTGCTTCTTCCTATAATATTACACATAGATTTCAAATGTTCACTTGATCTTTATAATATATCAAATTTCATCGCAAATCAAACGTTCTCGATCATGAATAAATCATTCTTTAAAGTTGAAAAAACATGTGGTTCCTTGTGGTTGCTATATGGTTGTCACACAATAATTATTATCTCATTCGCGTCTAAAGTCTTTTTGGTCATTGGCTATGTTCACCTTGCTTTATTCGCCTTGAGATCCTTATAAACTATGTTGGAAATAAAAAGAATTGTTTTTTTACTAAAGATCTTGTCTAGAAAGCTAAGTTTTGTTTTTAAAATCTAACCGATTGACATAATAAGTCGTTGCAGTGTTGTTGTCACACAATAACGCGTTCGCATAATACGCGACTACACTTTGCGTTAACCGATGGGCCCAAGGTTACAGTGATACACACCGGACAAAATCTAAAGTCAAATACTTTTCGGCTTGGACTAAAAAATATTTCTTTAAGTATAAGACTCGATAATGGTTAAGAGGAAAATATTGTAAGGACATCTGTGTTTTTACAGCTGTTTGGAATGGCGTGCAAATAGTGTATCTGAAGGTTAAACTAATCAATAAGATAACTTTTCTGTGACTCTGAGTGAGTTTCACGCTTACGCGATTATCAGACAGATTTTAATGATAGGTAGTACGTATATATACCGACTGAGTTAGTTAACAGCGTACTGAGCGATTTTACGCTGTTAGTTAACGGCTTAAAATCTTACAGTATGTATATTACCGATTGGAAGAAATAGCGCCGCTGGTTAACGACGTAAAATCCTACAGCATGTTAATGTACCAACTGAATGAAACTACGCCATTAGTTACCTGTGTAAAATCTTAAAGTAAATATATAGCTTAATCGTAAAATTAAATAACTCTGTTACATAGCTACTTTGGCCCAGATACTGGTATTGATCCGACATATATATATATACCGACTGAGCCAAATTATGCCTTCAGTTGAAGGCGTAAAATCTTACTCTATGTACCTATACCAACTGAGCCAAAATACGCCGTTAGTTAACGGCGTACCGAGAGATTTTACGCCGTTAGTTAACGGCTTAAAATCTTACAGTATGTATTTATACCGACGGAGATATATAGTGGCGTAAAATCGCACAGTCTATAGACTATGTTAGTCACATATTAAGCTGTTATCTAATTACCGTTCTCTTTGAGAGCGGTTACAAACGCAGCGATCAAAGCATGCACGCCGTTTCAAATCTACTAACCTTACTGCCAATCAAACATCATTCGATGCTGCTGCAATTTGCAACTGCAAACTCTTCGACCTCAAATCCATTGCCAATTTTGGCGCATTTAAATTTATCGTTAACTTTCTTTCATGCGCTCATAGCGAGATCAACTTTGATTTTATCGAAGACGTGACGAGAATTTATCCGAGATCTGTCAATTCGCATCATTCATAAAGAAAAACAATAAATGTTTTATTTGATCTTAGCAAATCTATCTGCACACAGGTCTTAACCAGAATCTTACCTTGTTTTTCAATTGAAACGGCTACTTTGATGCATCCGACGGTTCTTAGAAGCCATACCAAATAAGACACGTCTTCTTGGCAGATTTTTTCTTCTTGGCTTAAGAAGCGTAAAAACTCATGTTGTCTTTCGATGGCATCGAGCTCTCCTCGTGGCAAATAATTATTGTTGTATTGTCTGGCACAGAGAAATTTCATTTTGTCCAACTCTTCTTTTGTTATTTCGCGAGCAATGTCACCCAAGAAAGTATCGAACTCTGCTTTATTTCTAGGGGGTAGCGAAATATTCGGCGGTCGAGTGGACTGCGCCATGTCTGACAGACTTCCCGTCTCAAGCCACGCAAACGTTACCTACGTGATTAAAATCGATTCGCGTGACACCACAAAATGTTGAGGGTGAGTCTAGTCACGTAGAACAGCTCGGAAATTGAAACCTGGCTACATTTTCTAACAAACTTGACTGTATGTGTAATTATGAATGAAGGGAGTACTTTCGTATAAAAACTGTGGTGCTACATCGGTGGGGGCGTATAACAGGGTAATTCAGTATTATTGATAATCAAGAGTTTGTGGGTCAGTCGGTACATAATCAGGAGGATAATGAGAGAAATTTGCAAGATATTCGTAAAAATTATTCACAAATGAGTCGACGAATCTTTCGAACAGTGCTCAAGTAGTCAAACTTTATTTGAAAGCTGTCATTTAATAAGTTATGCCTAAAGTATAATAACATAGATTTTGACCGCAGAGATGCGGATTAGTGTAGTGGAACTTCATATCTATATCTGAGTAGTATAATTTTCAATGTTGTTAAATTCTAAACAGTTCGCTAACTTAGAATAAATATCTATGATTTATCTCACACGAAGTTTGGCAGAATCAATTGTTTCTGGGGTATACCCTTACAGAAAGGCCGTAAAGGACGTTTCGCCTAAAATAGGTACTATTGAGTGCCAATGTGTAGATGCAGAGGCAGGAATTTCATTTATCTAAAAATGGGAAATGAATTTAAAAAGACTGTTTCAAATCCAGAACATTTCTTGTATTAAAGATCTCACAAGGACATGTTTCAGGTACACAGCTTTACAATCTAGATATGTGACAGTGATTCATCTTTCTAAGGAGGCATAGGAAACAGGTACGTTTACCTTTTGGGTAAAAAGTGGAAAAAAAATTTCCAGAGTTTAGGAATTAAAGCAGAACATCAACAAATCTTTGCCCTTTTCCCTAAGGATGGGAAGTACTGTAAGCTGAAAAGAGGGTTCAACTGAGCTCTATTTAATTTTGCAAGGTTCTGCACTACTATCAAGATGGCTCTGACCAAGGCTTGATGACTGGCTGCCATTCCATAACTGTATAGCTATGACAGCCCAAGACACCATTGGCATTATAATTCCAAGCTACATTAGTCAATGGTGCCTGATAGCTTAGGGAAAGCTGACTTCAAGTACAACAAGAAATACAATTTCAAAAGTGGTTCTTACTGACATAAATTTTAATAATCATCATTTTTTTGCCCATGTAGTAAGGTGATTTTTTAACAATGGCTTTTCAGCATTACAGCTTTACACTCCTGTTACATGAAAATTACACTTACTTACAGCCAATCAGACAAGCATAATTTTTTTTCGCGTATATTATTCATAAATACATGGATCATGTAAATTGGTTGTCTTTGAAAAATTTACCAGTGGTTATGAACACCAAATTGCACTCGAAATCATGTTACTACCCATGAAAGTTGACGATATGTACAATAGATAACAAATTAAAACACAGGCGTAAACAAAATGCATATAACACAAAAATTTGTTAATTGAAAAATTTAAAATTACATTTCTGAAAAACCAATCCTCAATAAATATTATTCTTCTTCCCATCTTATTACAAAATGTTGTTCACAGAAAGTTCTACAACTATTAATTTTTCTTAATGGGGGGGGAGGGGTGAAGGAATGTTAGACTGATATACAGCATACTATTATTCATGTCGTATGTCCTAAATTTTTATAAGATTCAACAGATACTTAATTAAAAGGCAACAACATTCAGGGAGTCAAATCTTTTTCAAATAATATTATATGATATTTCTTTCACTGGATTTGATTCAGTGTCTAAGATACTGTGATACCAAAATTATGTGTGTCTTTAAAAACAGAGGAGACCCTCATACAGTGTAAATAAAAAAAACTCACTATGTACTTACATGTACATGTACATCTCACTAGAAAAAAAGAGGAGATATAACCAGCTTTAAGAATTACCAGTACAGCTGCAACTACTAAATTAATTTAATCTTATTCAATTACACACACAAGCTTCATATTCTACTTTTGTTTACTTAATTACACTGTAGGAGAAGCATGTACATCTATGCCTTGTAATGGGAATTTCTCTTTATGCAACATTAGAACTACCAATTGAAACTGAAAATGCTCTAAAAAAATTGTTTTAAAATATTTCATGTATGTCAGCTGAATTTTACACATAATTAGGACTCAGACATGGTTTGATGTTACTCTGGTTTAAAGATTTAATTAATGTCACCGGTAAGTTACAATTCATAGACCAAACCTTTCACCACTCCTGTCTAGTGCCTTCATCAGGCATGGTCCTTATATGCTGCAACAAGAGGTCCTTTTATATGCTAACTAATTAGCTTCCCTTTTTTGACGAGGCGTGAATAGGCGTCAGGTAGTAAGCCACCATCATCACAGTTTTTAAATTGTGATTGTTGCTTAGATTGTCCACCTGGTTGCCTTGTGAACTTTAATATATCATAATTAGGAATATTTCTTGAAAGACAAACTAGAGCCTACAGTAATGTTTTAACAAATGTCTTAGTTCAGTTTTGAAAAGCTTTAGTTATTAATTTAGTTATTATTATTATTTAGTCATGATCATTGTAAAAATGTCACTGTTTTCTAAACCTACATTGAAGATAAAATTCTATACAATCTGAGCCTTGAAAAGCCCCAATATTTACCACTTCACTATGTACAATCCACGATGAACAAAAAGGTTGGACTTATTAAAGCACCAGGTACAGGTGAATTTTCTTCCCAGTGGATTGAAAAAAATCACTTCTCTGGTTGTGGTTCCTCGATAGATGACCATCTTTTCATAGCCAACTGCTCTTCATCTTTGGCTTCATCATGCCGCCCAAGCTGTTTGAGGACATGAGCTATCTCTGTGTGTGTGCGCACTGTTTCCTGGTGGTTCCCTAGAACCTTGTCTTGAATGCGAAGTGCACCTCTCAGAGTTTCTAGAGCCTCGTTCAGCTCTCCCTTCATAGCTAGGGCCTGTTAATTGCAAACAAGAGCAACATGCAGTTGAAAACAAGTAATTCTGACTTGGAAACCATTTAACCATATTTAGCAAGACAAAGGGGAATTAATACTTGTATGTTAACCCTTTCAATCCCAAGATCTCTAGAGTAATTCTCCTTACTATCTACTATGCAATTCTTATGATGTCTTACGATGTTAATTTGGAGAACTTGGTATTGCATCAAATAACAATCCCTTATTAATATTTTACTTTGTTCTCATCACTTTTCTGCTTGATCTTGTATTGATACTGTAAGGAGAAATCCCATCTTGGTCACTTAAAGGAGTTTAAGGGTAAAATGATGTACCTTTCCAAGACCATGGAAGGAACGTGCCGTTTCTTGGTGATCACCCAGGGACTGATTCCTCATGCGCAGTGCTTCACGGAGGAACTTAATTGCACTTTCATAGTTTCCAAGGGCCTGGTATGATATGCCCATGTCATCCATCAGGGTAGCAGTAAATGGATGATCTCCAAGTGACTCTAAATACACTGGAAGGGAGTATTCTTCTCTGAACTTGTTAGCCTCTTGGTGAGCATCATTGAATGCATAAGCAGCTACAAGTAGATGTAAAAATATGGTTTTACTCATTAAGAGATGCATGTAATGTGAGGGAAAAATACAAAGGAGGAAGGTACACTGTCAGTAGCTGCTGAAGTCAAGGGCAATTGGTCCATTATCACAACTTCCAATGTACTCAATTTCTGCACTGGCCCTTTGTTATTAAGGAAATCTTAACAGATTATTGGAGTGAAACATGTACAGTGTACTATTACACAATATTAAAATTCATACCAGCCTATTTATTTTACCTCCAAGGTCTTTATAGCCCACTGCAACAAAAATCTTATCCTTGTGTTGCTTCCTGATCTCAATTGCTTCCTTTATGCGTGGAAGGGCTTCATGCAAATCTTTCTGTTGTCCAAAGCAGCGGCCAAGTTTACTCAGGCAAAATGCACGCACAAGGGAAGAGTTATCTTTAATTTCTTTTTGTATCTTGTCAGCCTCCTTAAATCTGGCAACAGCTGATGGACATGGCAGATGACAGGCACAGTGCGAAAGGATACAATATGCCTCAGAAGTCAAGCAGTCGCTATATCTTTTTTTATCATCACTTGCTTTGCAGGCCTCTGTAAACATCCCAAAAACTGAGAGAAACTTCTCCTTTCTAAACACCTTCGCTAGGAAAGGAGTTACTTCAACAGCAGTGTCAATACACATTTTATCCAGGTCAGGATCAGTTACAGAGTCTTTCAGGGCCTGCCTGATGTTAAGACGATTGATCAAGAAAAGCTGGACAGCCTGGCAACAATCTTTGGACAGGAAAACTGCATAGAGTTCCTTTAACTTTCCCAAGTAGTGAATATTGAACACTTTCCTAGCTGACTGGTAAATTGGGTACAAATCTTCTTCTTGGTTCACATGATCATGACAAAACGACTGGATTATACTGTGCACGTAATATTGCTTTAGTAAGTGATCAAATTGGAGCATGGAGTTATCCACAAGGTTTTGAAGCAATATCCCCAACTTGAAGTCTGACAGGTCTTTGAGGAGAAAATGGGCATCAGCCAAAGTGAATGTTGTTGGGAAAACTGCAAGAGATATCATGGCAACTTGTTGGTCATGATCAAGTCGGCTGAAGCAGATTCTGAGACAGTTAAATAGTTGATGCTCATGGCTGAGTGAATTGAGACTGAAAGATTTTAGAGTTGACACAGGGCTCATCTGGAACTCATGGATCAGAGCTTTAGCATCTACTCCTTTTGCCAATAGGGCTGCTGTGGTGCGCAGAACAAGCGGCACCCCACCACAGTGATTGGCTAGCTGTTCTGCATCCTCTTCAGATACTTTGGACTCCAGCGTCAGAAGCAACTCTTTGGCATGATCTGGACAGAGAGAGTCTAGCCGGAGCTCAAACATTTCAACAGAGATGAAAGTAATAGATTGACGTGATGTAATCAGGATTTTCACATGAGAAGCAGTCTGTGCAACAGTACCAATAAAATTACAAAATTCATCCTTCACTTGGGGCAGTAACATGTCTTCAGCATTGTCCAGAATGATGACAGAGTGCTTTGTTAACGTGCGAAGGCAGTGCTTGGCTTGCTGAATTGGCTGCCTCCCAGCCAAAATTTGAAGAGCTCCAAGTAGGGAGTTCACCATTGCATTTAAGGATGTCAAACTCCTGAGGGAGACATAATACACATTTGTTTTCCCTTGTGCTATCAGTTCATGTCCTACTTGAATGGCCACCGCAGACTTTCCAAAACCAGGAGGTCCAGTAATGGAGACTATCTGACAGGAATCACTTGCCGAAAGTTTTTCTAGTACTGTGGAACATTGACCTTTCCGTCCAACAAAATTTGGAACTTTGGAGGGAATGCCACCTAGGTTCTGAAATGCCTTTTTGATAACCACTCCTTAGGGAAAGAAAAAATATCATGATTATGATGATCATAAAAAACAGTGAGGCAAAATCAATGATAAACAGAAACTGAGAAGATAAAATCTTATCAGTATAAGCTTGACCACTGCTAGCAAGGTTATTCATTTATTTCTCAATGTTTCCCTTTTCTCTACTTGGTTTTCTTGTGTAAGTTAGCAGCTTTAAAAATTAGTGATTAATAATCTTGTTAACTTTAAATGCTTAAATCAAATCTTCAACAAATTCCTCAAACTTGATTTTTTTGTAAGTAGTAAATAGCCCACTTTGAATGCTTATAGGACAGTACACGAGCTACACTTGTGAAATTGGACAGTGTACTTGTAGAGCAATAAGGCAGATAACAAGTCATGCCTCACTCACTGTGTACATATAGATACAAGTAGATTGTACTCCCTTTTCAGATATTCAGCTATTGACTGTTACATTAATTGTGTTCAGGAAATAAGTCAACTGTTATTTTCATTCATGAATATGTCAAGCAGAAGAATATCTTGAATCTCACATGTTTTCATAGTTTTGATTTAGTGATAACAGCACTTTGAGTTGTCCAGTTTTGTTGAAAGTCATACTCCCAATTTGTAGATTTTGACTATTACATTCGAGCATCAGATACTGTTAATTTCTCGCAAAGTTACAGACTGAATTGGACCCCTTTTTGGTCTTATCTCAGATCAATAATCATAAGAAAAGTAAAAAATTATGTAATTATCAATTGAAAGGATGGTTATATTTAAAATATTAAACAAGGGGCATTTTTCACTTTGTGATCAAAAATGAATTCTTCCAACCTGCGATGACACGCTTACACATGTAAATGGTACCATCAGACACTAATCACACGGTTATCACGTGCAGAAAGTAAAAATTACTGTAACTAAAATTTAGCTAAATTGTTTGGTGTTCATGTTTTGGGACCACGTTTACGCCATCAAGGCAAATGGTTTCAGTTAAAAACCTCAAAATAAATTCAACTAAAAGATAATAACCACGGTAAAGCTTGGCACATGAATTATTTCCACTCAATTATGCATGCACACCGAACGCAGCCTATAAAATTCAGGACGATTTATAATTACGCTATTACGGAAAAGGCGCTGTCCCAACTGAAAAAAAAACCTTCGTAGCACAGATATATACGCTTCAAAAAATACAAAATGCTTTTTTCCGGACAGTTAGGCATTTGCGTCATATACATTAAATGTGCTTGACATACTGGTTCCTATTAGTCAATAGTTTGTACTAGTATTTGTCTCCACCCCCCTTGAACGACAATAGGAGATCACGTCCGCAGTTTTTCTAATTGTCAGAACCAATATCTTCTTGAAAACCACCTCTTAAAATCATTCTGCCAAGAAACGGATCTTTATGCCGTCAATACGGGGTTATAACTTCATGTTTACTTTTTAAAATAAAAATAAAAATCAAACACTCTAAAAGTTTAAGCCATGAGCAAATATCGTGCGAACCTCTCGAGCTTCCAGAATATCGGGGGTGGAATACTAACCTTGGACTCCAAGAAGAAGATTTCTGAGGTCCTGTCGTCCGATGTGGAAGAGAAGTGAGGACAGGGGGTCTTTATTGTCATTGCTGAGATCACAGCAGTGAATTAGTTCGAGAAAAAGCTCCCGTGGACGCTTCACCGTCTCGAGGTGACTCGCCGGAATCGTTCCCTCGCACAAAAACTTCAAATTCTCAAAATCTTCATCCGTCAGTTCTCGACCAATGGAAAGCAGAACAGACAAAAAATTTGGGTCACCTGAATCCATGAAATATAAAATAAAGATACGAGAGTCTCACTCTGAAAGAGAGAAAAACCTTTGCCTTGTCACGAATTAAGCAGGTTGGATGAGATGTCGACCAATATTCAACCTTGCTCCCAGGTTCTCTCCTCTTTCCTTCTTTTAGAAGAGAGAGAGCCCGGGAACAAAGTAATATTCAGGATGTCACGCCCCTGTCACGCACCGCTCCCCAAATATATAACATGTTCAACTGACAATTTATTTTTCTTTCCTTAGATCTCCTCTAGTTGGATTTCTTCCATTAAAGCGTTCTTTGTGATCAACAAAAAAATCTGCCATGCTTAAAAGTTCGTCTCTCGGAAAGTCAAGTCTGAAAAACGAAAGAAACAAATCAAAGCTTGGATCATTCAGTCTTCTGCTTCCGTATTTTTGCCCTGTTCTGCAGTGTAATAACGTGGCATAATTTGCGCGTTTCATGACCCTATTTGTTAAAACAACATAATAAGTGAAATAGAAAACAGGTACTATTCTAGTAACCTGTATTGTTGCATTTCCTCGTCGTAGTCCTTATGACCTTAACAAAGCTTTTGAAACCTGCATTTGGAATGTATGGAAATAGTATCAATAAAGAGAGGACTTTTCCCGAATTTACATTGAAGAAATATAACATGGTTTCTGTGTTTACATAGCCTGATGTAAACATACGGGAGGTTGGGAGAACGCGAGATAAGCGTAGGAAACCACGACGCGAATTCGTATCTCTCAGCAATGAACGAGTTACCAGTAATCGGCTTATCGAGTTTTTAAAATCCTGTAATGTACGCCTTGTGGATGCCAGAATTCAGAGCAGGCCTACCACAAATATTCTGTACAACTCCAAACCGTTCAGAAGCCCACTGAAATAGATGACTTCGTAAACTAAGGAGATTTAAGTCTAATGGTTGGAAAATTATAGATTAAGTTTAATCATTCAGAACTCAATGTAAATGATCTAGCTGAACAACTTGCATTTGCTTGCACTTGGGTGTGTTTACTTGTCAGTTTTGGTTTTGCACGCAAATCTTAAAATGAGGTGGAAAGAAAGACTGAAGGAAACGGACCAACCAATCAAATTAGTGGTATAACATTTGAAGAAAATCGTACTTTTCCATACCCAAATGTTGTTGTTTTTTTTTTCCTTCTTCTTCCTCCTCCTCCTCCTCTTCTTCTTCTTCTTCTTCTTCTTTTTCTTCTTCCCCTTCTTCTTCTTCTTCTTCTTCTTCTTCTTTTCCTTCTTCTTCTTCTTCTACTTCTTCTTTTTCTTCTTCTCCTTCTCCTTCTTCTTCTTCTTCTTCTTCTTCTTCTTCTTCTTCTTCTTCTTCTTCTTCTTCTTCTTCTTCTTCTCTTCTTCTTCTTCTTCTTCTTCTTCTTCTTCTTCTTCTTCTTCTTCTTCTTTTCTTCTTCTTCTTCTTCTTCTTCTTCTTCTTCTTCTCCTCCTTCTTCTTCTTCTTCTTCTCCTCTTCTTCTTCTTCTTCTTCTTCTTCTTCTTCTCTTCTTCTTCTTCTTCTTCTTCTTCTTCTTCTTCTTCTTCTTCTTCTTCTTCTTCTTCTTCTTCTTCTTCTTCTTCTTCTTCTTCTTCTCCTTCTTCTTCTTCTTCTTCTTCTTCTTCTTCTCCTTCTTCTTCTTCTTCTTCTTCTCCTCCTTCTTCTTCTTCTTCTTCTTCTTCTCCTTCTTCTTCTTCTTCTTCTTCTTCTTCTCCTTCTTCTCCATCTTCTTCTTCTTCTTTTTCTTCTTCTCCTCCTTCTTCTTCTCCTTCTTCTTCTCCTCCTTCTTCTTCTCCTTCTCCTTCTTCTTCTTCTTCTTCTTCTTCTTCTTCTCCTTCTTCTTCTTCTTCTTCTTCTCCTTCTTCTACTTCTCCTTTTTCTCCTTCTCCTCCTTCTTCTTATTTTGATTTTTCTACGACTAGTGCGACGAAGAAAAGAAAAAAGGAAGAAAATCGAGGCAGTTGTTTAGGCTCGGGTCGCAAAAGTTTCTAGAATTCTCCAAACGTCTTCGTCTTCCGAAGAAGCTTTGTTAACTTTAGAAAACGTCTTCCGGAACTTTTAAGAGTTTCCCTTTCTGTTAAATTTTGTCAGTTTGATCTTATTTTTACAACCAATATCGGAACAGATCATGAATGTCTGAATGAAAAGTTCAAACAGAGGCGCATTTATCTTGTCAGAGTATGGTTGAAAGTTTAAACTTCAACATATGGGTTGCCTTTTTGAAGAAAAACGAGTGGGTGCAACATGATCATTGATACCCAAATATTCTATCCACATCCGCTCGGATTTGACCCTTGCCCTCCACGCTTGAGCCATAAATCAGACCGGAATTAAATCAGTATGTAATTTTGACGGTCTCAATGTTGTGATGCCTTTACAGCGAACGTTTAAAATTTTGGCCAGTTTACCGCCAACAGTTAATTTATTGGTCAGATAGTGAAGATACGAAATTTGGGGTTACATGAAGCCAAAAACGTCGATCAGCTGTAATCCTTCTCAAATTAGTGCCCAGTCTCTTCGAGAATCTGTGTTTGTTTGTTTTTTGTAAAATGGCGGACAGGTTGAAACTGTGCTAAGTTCTAAACAGGGTTATTCCATGTGATTTCTGATCGTACTCCTCTTCTAAGAAGCCTTTGTTTGGAATTTAAATTTTACCGTACAGAAAAGTTATCTAACGTGAATTAATAGAAGCCTTTTCAGCTCAAGCAAGACTGCGGTGAAGTTGTTATGGAGAAAGCGTCTCTGTTTTGCACCGATGATCAATTCCCTGTTTGCAAGATTATCCTTTGCATTGAAAGATAACACACTGGTATGGTACAAACAAAAATTCTAAGCCGTTGGAGGCCTTCAGATGTTCGAAATAGCGTGATAAGTGATGCTTCTGCATGGATGACAGTACTAGTTAGACATTGTTAATAACAGGACGTACATAGTCTTACACAACCATTTCAAGTCAAACCAAAAAGACACTAATCCGCAGAAGATATGCTGCAGAATAACTCATTTCTTGAGGATGAGATCAAAACAGAAGAAGAAACGGAGGAATCGAGTTCTAATGAAGAGGAACTTCCTTACGAAATAATCGACCGGCCCCAGTCAAAGTTGTGCACCTTTGATGGTGGACTACTCATAGTGTGGGGCTGCGGAGAATTCGGTCAGCATGGCCATGGATATTGTGAAGATGTGCCCATTACTGATGCCTTAGTTAGTCCCTTGTGGCTGGGAAAAGACAGAGTGGTGGTTGAAGTAGCCTGTGGATCAAGTCACACTTTGGTCCTTACTGGTCAGTGACTTTATGAGTGATTAAATATCATAAATTTATCATTACTAATTGCTTGTTAATAAATAATAATCTGCCCTGTTGGGACCTTTTTGATAGCCCATGTATTTTACTGATTTGAATTAATTATAATTGCCTCCCTTTTGCTAAAAACTCTCCATATGTGATGTCAATAGTATTCATTAGCCATCTAAGATGGTAAAATTCTTGGCTATCATCCTGAATTCTTTGCTTAAATCTTGACGGCATGAGTTACATTTTATTCATATGTGAAGAATATTCATGCATCATTAAATTATTTTTTGTCCTACTACATCTATTAACAAAAAAAACGCTGACCGCACACTATAACTAAGTGTGATTCACATCTTGCATCTTGCTCACTTATCTGGTTTGCCTGCAAAGCATTCTATTCCATTTTTTTTTTCTAAATTGAAGCTTGAGTGGAGTGAGACTCTCATGAGAGCATAGGGCAGTAGTATGCAAAAACAAAAAACATTAACTTGAAAACACTGCTAAACAGGCTAATGATTTGCTGATGATTTGGTTTGAATAACTCGTAGATGATAACAAGATCTACAGTTGGGGGAACAGTAACAGTGGCCAGTTAGGAGTAGGTGGCACTGAAACCAGTCCACATCCCCGCCTAGTGCACTTGGGGGTGTCATCAGGCACTAAACTGACGGAGATCTCTTGTGGTACAAGACACAGCTTTGTATGGACACAAGATGGAGACTGCTTCAGCTTCGGCAATAACTATGGTGGGCAGTTGGGATATGATTTCAGGAAACCTGATTTCAAAGAAAACCAGGTGAGGTTTTATGTCAGGTTGTATCATTCTATCTATTGCAAGATAGTCTGACACATTTTATGAACTGAGTTGATTATAAAAATTGACTGCAGTAAAGAGTTCTAATACTCAAGTTCAGAGCATTTGCCATTTGTTAGAGCAAACCATTCACTCTAGTGAAATGCAGAGCAATAGATTAACAGGTACATGTAGCTAGAACTTTTTTCCTTGAGTGAGGATTATAACTTTGCCCTAACTTTTGAAAGCATTTAACCACTACAATTTCTGAGTCAATAGCCGAAAAGTAGTTGCTCTCATTATTTATGTAAGAGCATAACTTTAAACACAGCTTTCCTTTAATCTGTGTACCAATATTTAATTTTTTTTTCTAGCTTCTACCAGTTTTTGTGGATACTCTTTTACAACGCTCTGTGTCTCAAGTTGCTTGTGGAGCTCGTCATTCTGTATTTTTGTTTACTAATGGGCAAGTGGCTGCTGTTGGTGTAAACAACAGGGGGCAGATCGGTTGTGGTGATACAGTAGATGTGATCTGTCCCAAGACTGTGCCTGACTTACCACCCATTTCTGTAATTGCTTGTGGCAACAGTCATAGTATAGCTGCAGATGGTATGTAACTCAGTGTGAAAAGACTTATAAAAAAAAGTCTACAGTAGATATTAAATAGATATTTAAGTGAACCACATTTTATGGCCCAGTTTTTCAAAAGGTGGATAGCTCTTTATCCAACCAATGTATCACTCTCCAACAGATAAGTGTTAAAAAATGGTTTTCCACTGTCAACCACCTAGAGATTTTATCCAGTGGAAACTATTGTCCGGCCTTCAAACAACCAGAGCCAGATGATTAATGGAATCAAAATTGTGGAATTTGTTTAAGTTGGTGAATTGTTAGATGTGGTGTCTTTAAACTTCAGGCTACTGGTGTCAATTTCACTTGCTGAGGGAAGAGAAAATTGTAGCCAAATTTTGGTTGGTATTTACCTGATCGAAAATCGAAAAGAAAAAAAAAACAGAAATGAGTCGTTGGTTCTCACAGTCTCATTTATTAAAAAAATCCTTTACACTGAATTAAAGGAAACTGATTTTATTAAATAACAACTATGCCGTCAACTTAGCAACAGACTCATCCCTGTGTTACAAGCTCTTGATTTGTACCATGTTTGTTGTCTTTTCTTTGATGGCCATTCATTGGAAGGAAATGAAAATAACTAAGAAAAAAGTATCATAATTCACTGCTTCCTGGTTGGCATGAATTACCAGCTGATTGTTCAGCTTCATATCTTTCACTTCGATTCAACGTTGTGTTAGCAAATTGTTGAAGTATTAGTAGCATGTTGTCTGATGCCTGGCCCCCATTAAGTAGTGTGCTTGTTTAAGATTATTTGAAAAAGTCACATGCAGGCGAAGATTAATGAAATTCTCCCAGGGAATCAGAAGTTTTATTCAGCCTCTTCTTATTAATTTGATTAACTTGCATCTTTCATTTATTGGCGTTAAATTTTTATAGTATATCAATGATTATGGGATAATGGATAATTGGGATGGATCATTGGATAATGCAATTCAAGAGTTTTCATCAGCTTAGCCATCATGGGTTATGAGATTAAACTATGTGTGCCCATGCAGACAAGTTTAACAGGAATTGTTTTTGTACATTGTAACATTCAGTTTGTTCTTACTAAAAAAAGTTGAGAAGATTTATCTATATTTTGGGGACTTTTTAAGCCTTTAGCCCCCAAGAGTTACCAGCATCTAAATTCTCCTCACCATATCACCCCTGAATCAAACATGAAAGTCATGAGAATAAAGGGGATGATCACCAACAAAAGCAGCTCTTGATTGTTAAACAAATTCTCCTTGTCAGCCTCTTTGGAAATGTATAGAGCACAGTATGGAGAATATGCATGCTGATGTTTGTGGGTTAAAGGGTTAATAAAACAGTTATTTTACTTGTGCTTGATATAGATATGAGATGATTATGACCAACTCAGCCCTGTGGTCTTCCTGGGCTATCTATCATCTCATATCCAACTTGCGCACTCATGGAATAATTGTTTAATAGTCAATAATTATGATGCTGGAAATAACATTTTTTTCCCCTGCATTTGTTAATCTCTCAGTTCATGGCAGTGTTCATGTTTGGGGATACAGTAAAGCATGTGGTGCCAAAACAGATGTCTTGTCCCCTGTGCATGTGTTTTCAAGCAGTGAATCAAATGGAATCCAGGATTTAGCTGGTGGTGACTCTCATTCAATGATCCTTACTTCAGATGGCATTCTTTACTCCTGGGGTAATAACTTTGAGGTGAGAAAAACAAGGAGATACTTTTGTAAGGGATTACACATTTAAAACATCATTCCCTTGAATATTCAAGACTAAGTGACCATTTATTATGGAATCATCTTTAAAAAACAGAAAGGGAAAGGATCCAGATAAAGCAGATTTTATACAGATGTGAGACACAGTAGTTGTACACTGGACTCTGGGTTAAGAGGTCCAGTTTCAAGACCTGGCCTGGTCAGTGTGTTGTGACCTTGGGCAAAATACTTCACTTTCACAGTGCCTCTCCCGCCCAGGCATATGTATGAGTACTGGAAAATTTTTAGGGGAGCCTGATGAAATACTGGGGGTTACTTTTTTGATGGAATGGCATCCCATTCAGAAGGGAGTAGCTATACTCTTAGTTGCCACATGCTATGGAAACTGGTATAAGCTCCATCTGTCAGGACAAGTGGCTCAAGTACAGACTTTTCACTTTTACTATACAGATTTTGGCTTCCCAACAATATGTGTTACCCTCGTCTGTGTAGGAGTGCATTGAAATACACGAGTTAGCAATATGATGAACTTTTGAGTTCTCAATTTCAGGGTCAACTGGGACATGGAAAGTCTGTGAAGTTTCTCAGCAATCCAACAAAGTTGAGCTCCAGTTTACTTCCTGGAATGGTGATCAGTGTTTCTATTGGCGAGAACACTTCTGCTGCTGTTACAGGTAAGAACAGATGGTATTACTTCTTTCACTTATATGAATGCTGTTCTTTCCTGTTAATTTTTTATGTGCATTGCCATTATGTCACCCAAAAAAAAAATCGACGTATACAAGGTAAGGAAAAGCTCTGAGAATAGTCGCATTGGAAACAACTAAAGGAACTTATTTCGAGAGAAACGAAAATCCTCCCAAAATAAACTGTGTAAAAACACATCATGCAAGAAAATAGATGCGTCTTTTTGGAATCGAAATTAAAGAGAAGCTTAAGGTCTTGGAGAGAAAAACGAGTTACACTATGGGGAGAGAGATTCATTAACCCTTCAACTCCTAAGATCTGATTGTTAATTCTCCCCTCTAACTGACACACAATTGCTTGTAAATAAGTTATGAGAAGTTGGTGTTAGATCAAGATAACGACTTCTTCCTGATAAGTTTGAGTATTCTTATTACCTGGGTAATCACTTCTGGGAGTTGAAGTGTTAAGACTGTCTTTGACTTATCATGTAAAATTAATGAAGAAATCATGATGTGCGTTTCTTTGCAGATGATGGTAAATTGTACCTGTGGGGCAAAAACGCCAGCCAGATTATCCGTATGGACGAAAGCAGCAGATTTTTCCAGTTTGAACCGTTTCATGTCTCTCTAGGAACGTGGAAAGCTTTGAAGGTCTGATTAAGTTTGAAATTATGAGTATATACGTACCTTTGTACATAGGCTACAAACTCACTTGCTTAACCCTTTACAACCTAACATAAATTTTCATATCCTCCATACTGTTATCTATACATTTCCTAAGGTTCTGACAAGGAGAATTTGTTTAACAATCCAGAGCTTCTTTGGTTGGTGATCATCTCCTTTATTCTCATGACTTTAGTGTGTGATTGCAAGGTGATAATTGTAAGGAGAAATGAGATCCTAGTCAGTCTTAGGGTTCGAAGGGTTAATGCGCTTTGTGATGGGATTTAAAAAGAATAGAGAAACAGACAGCTTGCCTTAAGGCTTATTTTTGACGGTTGAATTTATCCTCTTGAATCTTTGGACGTAATTCGTCCCGGTTAGATGGTAACCCTTAAATGAGAATTTGCTAGGGTGGGAAGGTTTTGAAGGGGAGTAGATAAAACGGGAACAGAGATGGAGAAAGATGGAGTACGTTTTTGGCCGTGTAGTAAGTGCGCTGGAATTGTTTGTTTCAATGGTCCTCCATTTCCCGATGTGTCTGCCTATCTCCTCGTTAATTCTCGTATCATAGGATCGTTTTTCCCTCTTTGCTTGATAACGTTCGTTAGGAAGAAATATTAAGAAACCTCGAAAACTGACCATCACTACATTTCTCTTGCTTTGAAGGTTTCCTGTGGTTCTTGGCATGTGGCGTGTATAGTTTGCCCCAATCAGAATAGTAACAAGGTGGTTGCTGAAATTCCCGAGGAAATACCTGGAGTAGAAACAACTGCTGTCCAGAATGAAGCTGAGGATAGCTTTGACGATGGCTTACTCGTTTTAAAGCGTAAGCAAGAGGCTGACATGAAACCGAAAGAGAATTTTACGTGGAGTGACAAGGAAACACTTGCCAGTGATGAAATAGGAGTTTCTCAAGATTCGATAAACCTTTTGAATCAGACAAGAACTGAATCGAACCAGAGGATTTTAACTGGTTCAGATAATACTGATTCAGAAAGTCACAATACGGAGCAGATTGAGCGCTCGTGCAGAGATAGTTATAGCAAGGATTTTATCGTGGATGGAGTAGTATATGATGCGGGTATAAATAGAAATGCTATAGCTGGAGCAGACCTCGATAATCCTACGGTTACAAATAACTTAGAGGAAAAACCTGCTTCCACTCTCGATAGTAAAAATGAAGAAATGACTGACTGTGTAAAAAAACTTGTGCACGAGGAAAAACCGGCCATCAGCCCTAAAGTACCACAGTTATCTGCTTCTGGTGATCCAGCCATAAAGGGGATGAGTGAACGCCTGAGAAAAAATTTAGAGCTAGGATTTGTGGATCGAAGGTCACTTCTGAAGCACCATTATCCTTCAAAGACGCGCGATTTTGTGATCAAAGATAAAGTTACATCGACAATTAGTGAAGCATTACACGACGTTAAGCCGCTGTCCAGTGCCTTAACAGAACCGAAAACAATCTCATCCACTAATGATTTTGAATCAAAGCAACCAAAAGAGCAAACTGAAAAGAATTTTGAATCCAGTGTAGACGATGAATTTGATTACGCTTTTGAAAAATTCAACGGAGACCCAAACAGGGTTGAAGCAGTATGCGAGGACGAAAAAGAGGCAGTCATCGAGAGTAAAGACGAAATAAACCGTGTAACACGACCTAGAGCTTGCTCCGAACAGCGTAGTGGTGAAGACGCTTTGGTATCGGAAGAAATTAAAATTGCCCTGCGGAGTGGGTCCCTTGACAGTTTGAAGCTTCATCATCAACAGGACGATGCTGCCAAGGATTTCAAGCCAAGTCGGGTTCGTTATAGTCCTCCTGCTCATTCACAGAGCCCAGTGGGACATCTGAACCGAGAAAAAAGGCCAGCTAGAATGCTACGATATACATCCGTTGACATGGTATGTCCTAAAATTTTAAAATAATATGAATGAATTTAACTTTGTTTAAACACGGTAGTCAATGTCAGTATCTGAGCTACAGCGCACCTACCCCCTCCCTAAACCTAACAACAGTCACCTGATAACAATTAGGGGTAAATGATGGGTTAGGGGAGGGGTGGGTGTGCAGTTGTTCTGATACTGATATTCATTCAAACACTGTTTGAAACATCAGTCGGATTTCGAAAATTGACTAAACATTTCGTAAAATTGGTTTAAGGATTTGCCGAGAAGAATTGGGACAAGCAAGTCTTCGAAAGTTAGTAAGTCATTTACGTTTGTCTTGCTTTCCTCTCCACAGGAATACCACTTACCTAACCAGCCTGTGCACACAGTGGAGATTGGTGTCACACCCTACTACCGACCCCGCCCTCCCATGAATCGCACTCAATCCAGTCCCACGCTCTACTCGTCAAACTTAATCGGGAGTCCTCTGGGTTCTAGGAGGAAAAATTCCCAGTCGGCGAAGATTCCAAAACCTCCCACGTCAAGTGTTAACAGTGGCGAGAATCTCCCGCCCAGACCTCCTGCGCGCGCAATCAGGCGTCCCCTTGGTCACAGGCCCATGTTCTCATCCGGAAACTCTTGGAGGAAGCGGAAGTAATTTAAGTGTAACGATTAAGGAGGACTTCATTGTTATCTTTTGAACGGAAAAACTATTTTACTTCAAAGCTCCTTTGCGGTTCCAATCGTGTCTGTTTTCAACACGTCTTTGATACTGAATTTTTTGTGACTTTTTTTAAACGTGTCTCAAAGCAATTTTTTAGTACTATCGCCATTTCTCTTTTTAACGTCGCATTTCTTTTATAAGATAGGAACGTCAATCTTTTTTGGAAAACGTCTCGACGATTTTTAATTTTTTAGTTCTAAAATGATTAAGACGCCGATAGGAATCGACCGCAGCAGTCCTTCAAAGCCGAGTTTATTCAATTTCGCGGGCCGAGATATTTTGATCACTCGATGGTCTAAGTTGAGGAAGGATTCTTTGTATTTTTCGTTGAGAAATGTTTTTCGCTATCGTCTCGTTCATTTTTGGTTGCTAGGCTGGTTGATTGTTGTTTGTTTTTGCTTTCTTTTCTGTTTTCTTGTTTTCTGTTTTTATTTTGTTTCATTTTCTTTTGGTTTTTTTTGTTGCAATTTTATTTTCATTGAAAGGAGAAATTTAGATAGTGGTTACTTAGTAGTTAAAGGGTCACGCACGATGAGGTGAATCCAACTGAACCAGTTCTAAGTTTTTTTTTTGTCACAGACGTTTCCTAGTTTGAATCAATTGTATAAAGAGAACTGGCATTCTCATCCTTTATTGTTTTATTTATAGTGTGACATGGCAATGTAGATTTATTTATCGACTAGCAATTCAGAGCATTATTTATTAGATTTTAGGGTTGGAGAAGTAAAAGTGGTTTTTTGAGCTAAGCCGAGGGGAAGCCTATGTGAAAGATTAAAAACTTTAATAGAAGATTGTAGAGTAGTTAAAAAATTGCCAGGTGATAAACTTCATTGTTCTATTTTTCATGAGTGTCAAGTCTTTTTAAGCCGATAGTCAAGAAATTATCAGAATTCGAGATAAAACTATTTTTATGGTTTTATGTATTTGAAGAGTGTTAAGATTGAGGTCTTACTTTATGTTCGTAATGCTCACCTTCTATAAAATGCATTCCAAGAGCTTAACAAAACGTGTGTATCTAACTTTCTGTTGATTCTGTTTTCTCTTGCTTGTGTGGACGATTTTTGAAATAAACAATAACGGTTTTTCAAGTTGTTTGTGGTCGAAACGGCTCATGTTATGGCAAGGTTTCAAGGGCGATTAAAGACGATGAAGGGCAAATGACCAGTTATCTTTTAAGCTAGTTTAGGTAACACAAAAATGAAAACGTTACAGTTTGTCGAAACGTAGGTATGCTACGCATGCAAGAGTTTTTTTTCGGATGGGTGGGTTAAGGTCTCTTTCGGTATTTAAAAGAAAAAGAAACAATGATGCTAGGAGGTAGTGTAACTGCGGAACAACGGGAAGTTAAATCATTAGCATCAGTTATTCTTTTTTGTAAAGTTTGGAACGAAATAACTCCAGAACATTGATCATTTGCTAGAACAGTACAGCGGGCACTTTAAAACAACCCACTCTCGCTCGCTTCTCCCCTAATAGGACACACTTGGACGACATATTTAGTAAAGCTAAAATCCTCGCAGATGAGCTTTACTCTAATCAATTGCAGAAAGGAAGCCTGGAAAAAATCAGGCTTCGACGGAATTCGAACCTGTGATTTTGCATTTTGTGTCACAATAACCACTGAGAAAATATCTTGGATTATGTTATATGGTTGTTCACTGGAAATTTTTTTAACGGAACAAAGCTTAATTATAAGTGACAGGTGACTAATTTATGGTAGCGGCAAAAAACACTTTAAACACAAGAAGTAAATTATCGATCAAATATGATTTATGCAGATGCTTTGCGCAATTTTTTACCAGTGTCACCAAAACTATGATACGTTCGTGTTAGGCCATCAGACTGACAATGTCGAAATTGAAGAAGAGGTACATTAAACACGTTTCAACTTTTTAATGATAGAAAAGTTCCCTCTCAGTCTTTCAAGCCCCAACAGATCATGGTGGCAAGGTCCTCACGAACTTGTTAGGTAAGATGACAATTCTAGAGGGCGTGAATGTTGGGTAGACTCGCAATTGCAATATTTTGCGGCACCCTAATCCCATAACATTAAAGACAAGAAGAACAATTGATTAACTATCTGACAGGAGCAAGCATACCTTAATGCTGTAATCTGATTGGTGCGAGCAACATACGTTAACATTGGGTTACTATTTTTTTAAATTAAATTCCTTCTTTCCCCTGCTGCTTGCAAAGTAATGCCTTATTTGTTTAGATCTTGACACAACAACGTCACTGTACTGTTCTCCATGCATCCCTTATGGTGCTGACTAAGAGAATTTGTTCAACAATTAAGAGCTCTTTGAGTTCAAGATCATTTTCTTTATTTTCCTCAGCTTAATAATTTAAATATTTTAGACAGGGTTGACATTGTGAAGATAAATTATATAGAGGCTAGTAACTCTTAGGGTTTAAAGAGTTAATTCTTAGTAAACTTGTGATCTTGAAAGTTAATTTCCTTTTTACCTCGGTTAAATGACTAAAATCCCCTCATATTTTGATTGTCAATTCCTGACTCAAGTATTCAGTTCATGGACGTTGAAATGGCACTTCAGAGTCAAATGTAGCAATTAATGAATGAAATTCGGATATCAAAAGTTCGCATTCAGAGATTCAGGACGTAGGGGACTTACAAGTCGCAAGTCGTAGATTAGAAGTCCGATAATGGAGGTTATGAAACTATACGGCAATGGTCGGAAGTAAAACTCCGAAATCGAATGCCTGAAATCCGAGATCGGAAATTAGATGTCCGAAGACGAAAGTCGGAAAATTGGAAGTCGATTGTCGGAAATAAAGCTCCGAACTCCGAAATCGAAAGTCTGAGATCCAAGGCCTGAAATCAGTGGTCGGAATTGCTGTTATAGCAATAATTTGTCGGTCGGTATAAAAACAATTAAAATAGTTTTTCATTGCACCGTTAAACATGTAATGATTAAGGAATTGTTATGTCTTGAAACCCAAAGTAAATTCAACAAGAGTCCATTTAGATATGGTAAACACAAATGTAAAATAGTTCAGGGATGGGTGGAGGTTGAGGTTGAGGTTGAGGTTGAGGATGGGTTGTATGTTTTAGTGTTTATGTTTGATTTATTTTGATTTTTAATTTTTATTTCTTTATTCAGAAAGTTTTAGATTCAACTATTTATCCTTAATCATCTAGGCAAACTTATGTATTCCATTACTTATCATTTTCCTTTTTGACGATTATATGATACATGTTAAGACGCTGAATCTTTAAAAACTGCTTCCTCCTTGATGATCAGATCATACATAAACATTAAAATGATGACACCGCTTCCTTGTTGATGCATAGAAACCACAACGTTTTAGCTGCTTCTTTGTTGACAAACACATGATGCATAGAAACCGCAACTTTTAAACTCCATCCTAGTTGACAAACGCATGATGCATATACACCGCAACTTTAAAACTGCCTTCCTGCTGATTAAAAAAATGATGCATGGAAGCCACGACCTTTAAATTCCTTCCTAGTTAACAATCACGATACACAGAAACCGTAACTTTAACACTCGTCGGTTTCTTGTTGACAAACGCATGGTGTATGGACACCGCGACTTTTAAACTGTTTGCTTAGAGACAAACACATGATGCATAGAAACCACAACTTTTAAACTGCTTCCTTGCTATCAAAGGCATGATGAATTGACACCACAACTTTTGAACTGCTTCCATGTTGACAAACACTTGATGCACAGACAATGCAACTTTTAAACTGCTTTCTTGTTGATAAACGCATGATGCATAGAAACCACAACTTTTGAACTGCTTCCTTGTTGTCAAGGGCATGATGCATTGACACCGCAACTTTTGAAATAGAAGTAAAAGCCAGGTTTTAAATCCAAACCCTGCAAAGAGAAACAGAGAAGAAGAATGTGATATCACAGAGGCAAAGACTCATAAGACACAGACTGTCAGTTTGAACAAAGTTTCATTTGATCCACAGGAGCAATGTAGATTAACTTAATTCAAATATTTATTGTCTCGCTCAACTAGTTAAAACTGTTTTCACTCTTATCCGTGCGTGTCGATGAGTGCGTTTTGCGTTCGAGCCTTTGTAAGCTGCGTATTTCGAATTCTGACGTTCATAGGAATAGAGGCGAGTACGTCTGTAATGACAGTTTTCGAACTCAGCGCGTCGTTTCCCGTTGGCTGAAATATTTTAGTAATCATGTCGACACGTTTGTGTTCTACGGCGGAAAAGTAGCTTGTACAAAAATGCTTAACCTCTTTTAAGACATTTTTTTGTTATTACTGTTTTTGTTTCCTTTTTTCCTTCAATTCGAGTCTGTCGATTTTGCGAAAATAAGTGGTTGGTGATTTTTATTATCCAGTTCCTCTAGCATAACATCTACGTTACCGTTTGCTTTCTGTCGTTCAATTTGTCCTCCTTGGGCAAGTTGTGCTTTTCAAGCTGAAAAGAAGAGTATTTGATGTAAATGACTTGTGCCACAGTTGCATTTATCAACCAATACAAAGGATGTTGTTTAGCTTCAGCTAATATCTTCACAACAACTACAGAGGTACACGTATTTTATAACTTATACAGCTTGTACATACTTCATTGACAATAGGTACATCTCATTCTATTCTTACCTGAACAGCCAAGTAGCACTCTTTGCAAGCAAAGCTTTACTGATTGGTCCCCTTCGTTGCCTCCTGCCTTGAATACCAACTTGATTTGGGAAAGCATTTTATTCCACCAAAAAGCAACACAATACAATGCTAAGTGTGAGATAAGAACAATAACTACACGAGTTTTGAATACTTCAGCAGGTGGAGTATCTGACAGCAAAATCGGTAGATCTGAGCTCCGTGAATCCTCAAAAAGTCGACCAGATTTTTCATTTGACTCGTCTAACGTAACTTTAATTTCTTACAAAGGTCGACATAAATTTTTTCTCAGCTCAGCTGATAGAGCATTTGATACCGATATTGCAAAGTGTGAGGTTTGAATCCTCACGTCAGTTTACCCCAAAGTTTGACTTTCTACTCTGCCAAAAGAGCATTGTGTAGCGATTGTGAATGATGGAGGTTTGAATCCTCACAATTGGTCCACCCAAATTTCTTCTTCTGCCCGGCTGATAGAGCAGATGGTGAATTTCTAATGTCTTAGGTTTGAATTGTTATGGTCATTGACAGCAAAATCGGTAGATCTGAAGTTTGAATCCTCATGAAAGTCGACCAGAATTTCTATTTTTACACGTTTAACGTGATTATAATTTCTTAAAGAGGTCGAAATATATTTTTTTCGTAGCTCAGCTGATAGAGCATTTGATACCGATATTGCAAAGTCTGAGGTTTGAATCCTTTCGTGAGTTTACCCTAAAGTTTGACTTTCTACTCTGCCATAAGAGCAATGTGTAGCGATTTTGAATGAGGTTTGAATTCTCATGGATATCTACCCAAATTTCTTCTTCTGCCCGGCTGATAGAGCAGATTGTGAAGTTCTAAGGTCTAAGGTTTGAATCCTTATAGTCATTGACAGCAAAATCGGTAGACCAGAGGTTTGAATCCCCAAAAAAGTCGACCAGATTTTTCATTTGACACGTTAAACGTAACTGTAATTTCTTAGAGAGGTCGACACATATTTTTTTTCCAGCTCGGCTGATAGAGTCTTTGATACCGATACTGCAAAGTCTGAGGTTTGAATCCTCACGTGAGTATTGTGCTGCGATTTTGAATGAGGTTTGAATCCTCACAAATCGTCCACCCAAATTTCTTCTTCTGCCCGGCTGGTAAAGCAGATGGTGAAGTTTTAAGGTCTAGGGTTTGAATCCTTATGCAGGTTCACCCAGTTTCTTTTATTCCTCAGGCGATGCGCAATGTTTCAATTAGTTCATGTGGCCCCTTTCAAGTTAAGCTC